GTAAGTGATTACAGTTACATTTATTTTGTAATTAAATTATGTAACGCCATTACATGTAACTAGTTACACCCCAACACTGTATATATATATATATATATATATATAATTTTTGTTTTGTTTAATTGCAAATGTAAAGTCTGATGGGCTTATAAGGCACATGTGTATGCTCACTTGTTTTCCCAAAAAGCCAGCTATGTGGAAATGCTTCACCTTTTTAGATAAAATAAGCACTTTTGTTTATTTATTTATTCATTTATTTGATTAGTCAACCTAACTAATTAAAGAACTGCTGATCAGATTGAGCAAATAGGGATTACAGTTTTATTATATGATTTTTTTTTCAGCATCCATTCAACAACAAAACCTTTAATCCAGATTTTTTCTGTTATATCTAGAATCTCGCTGGGTGTCCATATAAATAAACAGTGTTGGGAAAAGTTACTTCTAAAAGTAATGCGTTATAATATTGCGTTACTCCCTTAAAAAGTAACTAATTTACTTTACCTAGTTACTTATGAAAAGCAATGCATTACATTACATTTGTGTTATTTCTTAAACCAGGTCTTGGCTTGCTTGTTTGTTTTTAAGAGGAAAAAGTTCTATTCTATTTTGACACCAAAAACGAAATGAATCCGATTAGGCTGAAGGAAATGTAAATTCTCATATGTACAATAGAGGGCATAGAAACCTTTCAGCTGTCCTGCCATTATAGATTGCATGCGGAATAGGATGCAGAAAAAGATCATATTCTGAGTTTGCATTTCACTGTTTTTATTCATTTTGAGGAATACTGGATCTGTTTTTGTGCAGGTGGCAAGGCAACAAGTCAGCAGCCTAAGCTTTTGGACGCAGCCTTCCAAACCCCAGTATGTTTGCATTATCAGGATGGCACCTGATTTTTGTTTTTTAGCAACTGTTGCAAGGTAATGACTATGCAGGAGAAAATGGATAATAGAGGAAGAAGATGGATGGATACTGCTGCTTGCTCACCTTTGGATTTTGAAAACATGGTTTTGATTCCAAAGCGCCAACACAGAATGTGTTACAAATGCAATGCAAAGGTCCAAAAGAATGAGGGAGTCCACATGAACCACTCTTTTTAAAACACTGATTACATAATCAAAATGGACCTAATTCTGATGTCAAACAAACCTGGGTGTGCACCAGAAGTGCTAGGCTGAAAACCCCCTGAATGTCATGTAAAGTGTTTCTGCCCTGCATCTTCCAGGTTGGCACAAGTTATAGTTGACTACTCTGATTAATTTTACCATGGTGTAGGGTCAAAGAATTTGCAGTTAGCATTAGGAATTAAGACAAGGTGGCATTGGCCAGTCATAGGTCTGCTATTGGGTGTGCAGGGATAGCATCACGCCCTCGATCCAATCATGCATACACTGCACATGCTTAGTAATAGAGCAGTGGGGAGAAGGTTGTTGCTCTCAGGTTTCTTATGCGACATCCAGTAGTCCCCAGGACTGCTGGATGAAAGGAAATTTGAATGGGGTGCAGCCTGTTGAAGCTTGGGGAGCCTCTCTAAAACCAAAGACCACATACAGGATTATGAGGTCCCAGTTATGCCTATCTTCAGCTACCATTTGTCGGAGCATTGGCTGCTCTGTTTTCTGTTGGAACCGGCTAAGCCCCAGCCAGTTTCCTCTAAACAGCAGCAGCACCAGCAGATCTTTTGGGTCTGTGGGCATAGGGTTGTTGTCTCATAGGGTATCAAAATGGCTCTGAGTGTGAAGGCATATTAGCTGGCTTATGAGGGCCGTCCATCTCTTCTCTCTTCACCGTGTCTCTCCACTGAGTGGTTTTGGATAGCTCCATGGCATCGATGAGGTTGGTGGAGGCCTTGGAGGATTGCCACTTTTGGTTCCCTCTGTTAGTAGCCATAGTCTCACCATGGGGGAAAGCTGAGCCGACTTTATACACACTGGAGTGTGCTAGGTGGTGGATACCAAGAACAGCCCAACATGGCCAAAGATCTCTCTTTTCAGCACAGTAATCATTTGCGGTGGAGCCAGAAACAAAAAGGTCCATTCAGTGGGGGCCCAGTGTTTGCGCTCAGCCAGCACAGCAAGCGTGTTCAAGATGTCCTCAACATCCTCCTTGTTATTGTATTCCAAAGTACCTACCTCTCTGAAGAGTGTGCCTTTGCTGGGACTGCTCGTGCCTCAGCTTCCACCCTCAGGTGCACTAACTCGGTGGACTGAAATCTCGGCAAGAAATGCATGTGTGTAGACCAGCCACAGGCTAGAGGCTGATGCCATTGAGAGTAGCCAGTGGGCTGAACTGCCATTTTCTTAGATAGTGCAGAAGCTACAGTAAGAAAAAGTAGGATGGCACATCATACTGTATATGCAAGGGTCAAAAGGGCATTCACGTAGCTCAGGAGTTCTCAACTCTGGCCTTCGAGGTCCGCTTTTCTGCAGAGATTATCTCCAGCCTTGATCAAACTTTCCTTGCAGCAGATAACATTTCTCTCCAAGAAGGAACATAGTTGTGAAGAGACCACTTTTTCTAGTATTTGTGACAGAAAATAGAGATTTGAGATATGTCAGTAGTTGAATAATTCTCTAAAAATTATTAAAATTAAAGTGGATAGTTTTTTTAATTCAAAGGTTTAATTACAGCCAGCTTGAAAGTTTTTGGGATATATCATAATAATAATAATGATGAATTAATAACATTAAGAATAGGTTCTAAAACTTCCCAAAGCATCTCTTTCAATGGCTTGGTAGGCATAGGGTCTAACATACATGTTGTTGGTTTAGAATGATTTAACAAGTTTAAACAATTCTTCCTTTCTTTTCACCTTTAGCAAAGAATGAATGGAATTGTTCCTCAGGGGACCTGCAGTGGACTGTCTGATGCAATACTATGGCAGATGGTTGCATGGATATAATATTCTCTCTGATAATATCATAGTATCTTGCTAAAATATCATGTTAATAAACAACCTCTTTTATGTCACGTGCTTATGAAGGTCCTTATAACATAATGTGTTTGTGTAAGCATTTAAATAAATAAAATATCATGATCCATATGTGTTACCTTGTGTTGAGCCTTAGGTCGTGCAACCACCAGCAGCGCTTGAGCTTCGCCTCCAGCCTCGGATAACTTTGCTCCATTTTGGCCCGTCGACCAGTCAGCTCCGCCTTGGCTTCTCCCACCTTCAGCTCCGAATTATATCTCATGTTTAACTACTGTAGAGGCATCAGATCCAGCGGCAAATCCCAGAAGTTCTGGCCGAGGTAAGGCTGCTCTCGGCGGGTTCATGAGCGCTGAATGGCTGCTGACGTCCTGGAGCTCACATCTCCGAAAACGTCGAAGCACATTTTCAAATAGATGTTATCTTTATTAACAAAGTGCATATTTGAAGTCTAAACATCTACATTCTCGCCTAAAACACTCTTAAAACTACATTCCGTGACACAAAAACAGTATCATTTATAAAATGATAGTGGATTTAGGATTTAGCCAAGACACTCACTGTGAGAAACACTGCAAGCGGAGTGATACAGATGCTGAAGTGGTTGGAGTTCTGCTAACACTAGAATATCGCACGGCTGGAAAGGCTCTCAGCCAATCAGAATCGAGGATCAGAAAGCACTTGTATATAAATATATCAGTTGCGTGTTTCTATTAACGAAGTAGTTGCTTCATAAATGTAACGTATTGAAAATGTTTCAAAACAATATGTGGAGAAAAGGAACACATGATAATGAATAATATGGAAACATCACAGAGGCATATTATTCATCATGCCATCGTTGAGAAGGACATATGTATCATTTCCAAGAATGTGTCATCAGCATTCGTTAAAAGTGAATGGACATTTGTATTGTCTCAGTTACACATCTTGATGTTTATTACTAACGACATTATTTATTTGGTTTGTAGTAATTAACATTGCAATGTGTAATTGATTAAAAAAGACAAAATGTAAAAAAAAAAAAAAACAAGTACATTATATTAGACTAGCACAATAGTTTATTCACTCACATTACTTCAGTCAGGCCTCTAAACAGCTCAGACAATTTATCTTATTACATAAAC